TGTGCTGCTGTCTACGCCCGCTCTGGAGGTAACTCTAACTATAACTCTAACTATCTCTAACTCTAACTAACTCTGACTGACTCATGTGCTGCTGTCTACGCCCGCTCTGGAGGTAACTCTAACTATAACTCTAACTTTAACTCTAACTAACTCTGACTGACTCATGTGGCTGCTGTCTACGCCCGCTCTGGAGGTAACTCTAACTATAACTCTAAACTTTAACTCTAACTAACTCTGACTGACTCATGTGCTGCTGTCTACGCCCGCTCTGGAGGTAACTCTAACTATAACTCTAACTATCTCTAACTCTAACTAACTCTGACTGACTCATGTGCTGCTGTCTACGCCCGCTCTGGAGGTAACTCTAACTATAACTCTAACTTAACTCTAACTAACTCTGACTGACTCATGTGCTGCTGTCTAGGTCTACTCCCTCTAGGAGGCTTGATATATCTCTAATCTAACCACTCTGACTGACCAATGTGCTGCTGGTCTACGCACCGCTCTGGAGGTAACTCTAACTATAACTCCTAAACTTTAACTCTAAACCAATCTCGACTTGACTCATGTAGCATGCGGTCTACGCCCGCTCTGGAGTTAACTACTAACTATTCCTCTATACTATCTCTAACTACTAACTAACTCTGACATGACTCATTGTGCCGCTGTCTACGCCCGCCTACTGGTAGGTAGTACTCCACACATATAACTTCTAACTATATCTTCTAACTCTTAAACTAAACTCATGACTGACTCATGTGCTGCTGCTACGCCCGCTCTGGAGGTAACTCTAACTATAACCTCTAACTATCTCTAACTCTAACTAACTCTGACTGACTCATGTGCTCGCTGTCTTCGAACGCCCGCTCTGGAGGTAATACTCTAACTATCTCTAAACTCTAACTAAACTCTGACTGGCTCCTGCAACCCGTCTGTACTGCACCTTCAGAACCACACCTAATGTATCTCGCTTATTGACTTACCTGTACTCTCTAGTTCCTCGCTTGTCAGATCAGGTTTAGTTCTTATCATTATTTTTTGCCACAGCTGCCCTGGGGCTCACACCTGACAGAAACCGATGCAACCCAGTCCTGTGCCATCGGCCCCACCCCACCACCACCGACCTTTCACAACACACACCAGTACTCCATTCTATTGTGGGGGAAATGTCCTAGCCTAAGGACGCCAGCAGCCGCGGTGTGGTAACTTTACAGTAGCCGACAGCACGCCACCACCACCTGTTGTTGTCTACAGAGTGTCTCCCAACTCATCGGCACTAACCCAGGGCCCGTGCCTGCTTGAGCTCAGCGGTCTGTATGGACATCCCTGTCTTTCCCCTTACTCGCCAAATCCGTGGAATAGTATGGTGATGTTTAATCGGTATGTAGATAACACACATCACTGTATATCGTCTTTGTGGCTCTCTGTGTTGAAAACGTACCATACAGATTACATGTGATGCGCCCTCTGAATGTGCCTCAAGGCTGTGTTAGCGCGACCTGGAGGATCCTCGCCGCTCTGTTCGACTCTCGCCTTTCACAGACGTGTGAACACATCCCTGGAGTCTCACAATCCATAGTTACCTCCTCAAACACCATGCATGTTCTTCCATCATTCAACTTTTTTTTTACAACAGTTCTTTCCTCTTAGTAGTTATAAATCTTTAGTATATCAGTACATTATTCATGATCAGATTAGGATGGTTAGGTAAATTTGGGCATTGTGCATGCAAATGCCACATTAAATCTGTATGGACAATTGGTTCTCAAAAAATAAAAAGTCTGGAATTATTACTGTTTGGACTTATTACAATATTCAGATATAACTAAGGACACATGCTGCCTTTCATTTTCAGATTCAATGCCAGCTACGATACTAGTGGTCTCTCTATGGTACTCTCTATGGGACGCTTCTATGGTCTCTCTCTGGTCTCATCTGCAGGTCTCTCTACTGATCTCTCTCTGGTCTCTCCTCAATCTCGGTTGTCTCTCTCTCTGGTCTCTCATCTGGTCTCTCTCTGGTCTCTCTACGGTCTCATTGGTACCAGTCCTGTAAAACCCGTTTTTGACCGTAGAGGTCAGAAGATGATCTACTCATTGGATCATTGATTAATTCTTATATGCAAGGTCCAACCCCCTACAGGCCCGGAGGATGGTATTTGCCGCTCGTCAATTTTGGTCATTTTTGGAGTTGGGACCCTACCCCCGCATGGTATATGTTAAAAATATATCGTGTCACTGGTGCTGTTCTTCTTAAAATAAAAATTCTGAATTTTTCGGTTTGACTTACTACTATATACAGATAACTAAGACACATACGTCCTTCTTTTACAGAGTGGACATGCAGCTAAAATCTAGATCAGTACTATTCCTGAAAATGTTTGAGATCTGGCATCTTCTTCTGACAATATATCAAAATCCAGGTTAAAAAACAGTTTCTGGGACTTTAAATTCACTCTTTTTAATATTCTGTTTGAATTATTTTATGACATTTTGTTTTGTTTTTATCATGGTTTTGATTAAGCGCTTAGTGTATGATCTGTTGCAATACAAAATAAGACCTGCCTTTCCGGTGCGTGCCCACTGTCTGTAGATGAAAGTGTGTTGCTGTGGTGGCAGACTCGGAGCTGGCTGCTGTTAGTACAACGTACTACCTTCCTCCGTCCTGGAGGAACCACGCATTTGGCCCGTGGGACTTCAAACTGCCTGCATGAGGAAAACTGTCGAGCATACTTCCAGAACCATACAGCATGTAGCAGCGACATGTCTCCTGCGCAAAATGGTCATCGACATGGTACCGATGCGCAGAGTGCTAATTGCGTGCTTAAGCTAACCCGGGTCCGGAGCCAAATTTTGTTTCGCATTTCTAAGGGAAACATTCCAGTATGGTGAAAAAATGCCATCCAAAACACTCTGCCGCCCACCATGCTCCAGAGAACACATTACCCCCCCCCCCCCCCCCCATCCCCCGGCCTCAATCAACTTCCATTGTGCCCCCCGACTAGTCCCCAGTTCTACTCAGCCTAGTACCCAGTTTCTCTCAGAACTAGTCCCAGTTTTCTCAGACTAGTCCCAGTATCTCTCAGACTAGGTCCCAGTTTCATCCTCCAGACTAGTCCCAGTATCTCTCAGACTAGTCCCAGTTTCTCTCAGACGGTGGACTAGTCCCAGTGTTCTTCTCAGAACCTAGTCCCAGTATCTCTCAGACCTAGTCCCTGTTTTCTACAGGACTAGTCCCAGTTCCTCTCAGACATTAGTCCAAGTTCTCTCAGACCCCCTAAAAAGGTTCCCCCAGTTCTCCTCAGACTAGTCCCAGTTCTACTACAGACTAGCTCCCCAGTTCTCTCAGACTAGTCCCCAGTTTCTCTCAGACTAGTCCCAGTTACTCTCAGACATAGTCCCGCAGTTCTCTCAGACTAGTCACGTGAGTTCGCTCAGGACATAGTCCCAGGTTCTCTCAGACATAGGTCCCCAGTTCTCTCAGGCAATAGTCCCCAGTTCTCTCAGACTTGTATCCAGTTTCTCTCAGATCAAGTCCCAGTTCTACTCAGACTAGTCCTAGTTCTCTCAGGACTATAGTCCGTCAGTTTATCTCAGACTAGTTCCCTGTTCTCACTCAGGACTGAGTCCCAAGTTCTCTCAGACTTAGTCCCAGTTCTCATCAGCCTAGATCTCAGTTCCTCTCAAGACTAGTCACCAGGTTTCTCTCAGACTAGTTCCCCTAGTTACTACTCAGTACTGAGTCCTAGTTATCTCAGGACTAGTCCCAGTTCTCCTCAGACTAGTCCACCAGTGTTCTCTCAGGACTTGTCCCAGGTTCTCCTCAGAACCTAGTCCCAGTTCCTCTCAGACTAGTCCCAGTTATACCCTCAGACTAGTCCCTGTTCTCTCAGCCTGGTCCCAGTTTCTCCTCATACACGACTCCGAGCCATGTCCTCTCTGAACTAGTCCCAGTTCTCTCAGACTAGTTTCCAGTTTCTCTCAGCCATGTCCAGTTCTCTACAGGACTAGTCTCAGTTCTCTGCAGACCTGTAGTCTCAGTTTCTCCCTCAGACTAGTCCACAGTTCTCTCAGACTTGTCCCAGTTCTCTCTGACTAGTACCCCAGTTCTCTCAGACTTAGTCTCAGTTCTCTCAGACTTGTCTCACCAAGTTTCTCTCTGACTAGGTCCCAGTTCTCCTCAGACCTAGTCTCAGTTTCTCTCAGGACTTGTCCCCAGTTCCCCTCATCAGGGACTAGTCCACAGTTACTTCTCTGACGAGTCCCAGTTCATCTCCAGTCTAGTCCCAAGTTCTCTCAGACTAGTACCCAGTTTGCTCTCAGACTAGTCCACAGTTCCTCACGGACTAGTCCCAGTTCTCTCTGTACTAGTCCCAGTTCTCCTCAGACATAGTCCCCAGTTCTCTCAGACTAGGTCCCAGTTCTCTCAGACTAGTCCCAGTTCTCCTCTGACATGTCCCAGTTCTCTCAGACAGTACCCCAGTTCTCTCAGACATAGTCATCTGTTACTCTCAGACTAGTACTCAGTTATCTCTCAGAACTAGTCTACAAGTTCTCTCGAGAACTAGTCCCAGTTCTCTACGGACTTGTCTTCAGTTCTCTCAGACTAGTCCCAGTTCTCTCAAGACTAGTCCCCCAGTTCTCTTACAAGACTTGTCCCCGGTTCTACACAGGACTATGTCCCATGTTCTCTCAGACTTGTCCCCCAGTGTCTCTCAGTCCTAGTACCCACGTTCATCTCAGACTAGTCCCAGTTTATCTCAGACTAGTCCCAGTTTCTCTCAGACTAGTTCCCAGTTCTCTAGACTAGTCTCAGTATCTCCTCAGTACTAGTCCCACGTTCTCTCAGGACATGGTCCCAGTTCTCTCAGACTAGTCCCATGTTCTCTCAGGACTAAGTCCCAGTTCTACCTCAGACTATGTCTACAGTTCTCTCAGACATTAGTCCACAGTTGCTCTCTGACTTGTCCCAGTTCTCCTCAGGACTAGTCCCCAGTTCTCTCAGAACACCAACCATCCCCCCAACCACCCAAAACCACCCACCCCCACAACCCAAAAACAACAACCCCCCAACCCCCCCAAACAACACCCCCATAACCCACCCCCAAACCACCAAACAACACCCCCCCCCCCCAAACCACCCAAACACCCACCCCCCCCCACCCTCACCACACCCACCAAACACACCCACACCCCAACCAACATAAAAAAAAAAACCAACAACCCACAAAAAACCCAACCCAACCCCCCACCCCCACAACCCACACAAACCCACCACCACAACACCCCACAAACAAAACAACCAACCACAACACACCAAACACCCCCCACCACCCACAAACCAACCCACCACAACACACCACCAAACCCCCCCCCCCACCACACCCACCCAAAAACATTACACTATCCAAAACACACAAAAAAACCCCACCCAACACCCCACCCCACCCACACCCCCAACCAACAAACACCCCAAAAAAACCCCATACACACCAAACAAAAAATCCCTAACCCATCACCCCACAAACCACCCTAAAAACACAAAAAAAACCACACCACAAAACACCTAACACTACACCACCACACCCCCCCCCCAACCCCCCCAACCCACCCCACCCCCCACCCCCCCCACCCCAACCCCAACAACCAAAACATAAATAACCCCAAAACCCCATTCATACCCCCCCTCCAATTTCAACCATCCCAACCAAAAACCACCTTATACCACCACACTCCCACCCCCCCTACCACTCCCCCCCCCCCAAAAACCCTTCCAAACAAAACTCAAAAAAAAATCTCCCTCAATCAACAAAAAAACCAACTCCAAACCAACACCCCCCATCATCCTAACTAAACCCAAATACAAACTACCCACCCAACTACATCATCCCCCTACCTTCCCCTTCCTTCTATAATCACCATTTTCCCCCCAAACCCTACCCCCATACATCCCTTATACCTTACAAACCCCCCCAACACCCCCCACCCCCCCTCATCCTTCCATTAAACCCCCAACTAAATTTCTTCCCACCCCCCAAACTCCACCCCACCACCCTTTAACTTCCCCCATCCTCAAATACCACCCCCCCCTTCCCACCCACCTAATCACACCAAACACCCAAACCACCCAACCACCACCCACCACCAAACCCCCAACACCCACACACAACCCCCCACCCCCACACCACCCCCCCCCCCACAACCCCTAACCCCCCCCCCCCCCCCAACCCCCCCCCCACCCCCCCCCCCCAACCCCACAACCAAACACAACCAACCAACCCCACCCCCCCCCACCCCAAACCCCCCCCACCACCCCTCAAAAAACCCCACACCCCCCCCCTCAACACAAACACCCCCACCCCCCCAACAACAAAACAACCAAACACAACCACCAACCACCACACCCCCCCCCCCCACACACCCACCACCCACCACCAACACCCCCACCATCCACAACCACCCCAACCACCACCCCCCCAACCCAACCAAACAACACCCACACAAACACACAACCAATAAACCCCACCACCAAAACCCAACACACACCACCCAACACTCCACCCCCCCCCCCACACCCCCCCCCCACCACCCCACCCCCAACCTAACAACCCCATCCCAACCACACCCCCCCCCCCCAACCCAACCACCCAAAACCACAAAAAACCCCAAAAAAACCAACCCCACACCCAACTCCCACACAACCCACACCCAACCCCACAAACCCCACAACCCCCACCCCCCCCCCACACCCAAACCACCCCCCCCACCCCCCCCACACCCCCCCACACCCCCCCCCCCCCCAACACCCAACAAACAAACCAAACACACCCACACCAACAACCCCCCCCACACACCACCAACACCCAACCACACACAACAAACCCAACAAAAAACCAAACCATAACAAACCACCTAACACACACCCCACACCACCCCCCCCCCCACAAACCCCCACAACATTCATTAAAAACCCACCCACAAACCCCCCCCCCACCCCAAAACACCCCCACCACCAAAAAAAACAAACCTACCACAAAAACTATACCCCTTCATTCTCAATACAATAATCAAAAACACACACTCCCACATCATCCACCACCCAAAACACAAACACCACACAAAAAACAAAAACACACAACACCCAACACCCACAACCCCACACCAATAAAAACCACAACCCCCCCCCCACACCCAACACCCACCCCAAACCCCCACCCCCACTTCAACACCCACACCCCAAAACCCTCACCCACCCCCCCAACACCCACACACAACCAACCACCCCCCACCCCCCCCACCACCAATAACCCCCACACCAAACAAAACAACACACCCCAACAACCCCACCCCCAAACCTCCCTATACCCCCCAACCCCCCACAACAACCACCAACAACCACCCACACCCACCACCCCCTCATACCCACACCACCCCAACACCCCCCCCACACACCAACCCACCAAACACCCCAACACACCCCACCCCCACACAACCCCCCCCCCCACCACCTAAAAACACAACACCCCACCACCACCACACCCCCCACCAACCCACAAAACCCCCAACCCCACAAAACACCCCACAACCCCCACACACCACCCCCCCACCCCACCCAACCCAAAACACCAAAAACCCACAAAACCCCCACACACCCCACAACAATCAACAAAAAAAAACACCACAACACCCCCCACCCCCCCACCCCCCCCCAACCAAAACACCCCCCAAACACCCCAACAACACCACCAACAACAAACACACCCCCCACACACCCCCCCCCCCCCCCACCCCACCACACCCACAACCCCAAACCCCCCACCACTCCAACTCAAACCCAACCCCCCCACCCAACCCCCCCCCCCCACCCCCACACCCAACCCCCCCCACACCACAAACAAACACACCCCACCCACAACACCAACAAACACAAACCACCCACAACCCACCCCCCCTACCCAAACACCCCCCACCCCCCAACAAAACAACCCCACACAACCCCCACCCCCACCAACCTCCAACACCCACCCCAACCCAAACCACAACCACCCCACACCACACAAAACACACCTCCACACCCACCCCAACAAACCCCCACCCCCCCCACCCAAAACCCCCCCCCCCCACACCCAACCACAAACACACCCAACCCACCACCCAACAAAAAAAACCCCCCCTCAAACCAAACCCCAAAACAAACCACAAACCCCCCCCACCCCCCCACACACCAACCACACCCCACCAAACAAACCACCCACTACACAAAAACAACACCAACCCCCCCACCCCAAAAACCATCAAACCCACAAAACCTAACCCACAAACAACCACAAACCCCAAACCCAAAACCCCCCAACCCAAACCACAACAACCACCCACCTTAACACATCAAACCCCAAACTCCCCCCTCCCACAAACAAACCCCCCCCCCCCCACCCACCCAACCAAACCCATTCAAATACAAAACAATACACTAAATACCACCCCCCCCAAACCCCAACCCCCACACAAACATTCAACCCCACCTCCATTCATACCCCATTCCCCCCTTACCCCCCCCCAATTACCTATATATACAAAATATATCCATCAATATATATATAACCCATATATACTCCAATCAATAATCAAAAAAAACATAAATATATAACTATCAAAAAAACCACACCACCCCCCCCCCCCCCCCCACACCCCCCCCCCCCCACACACCCCCCCCCCCCCCCAACCCACAAACACCCACAAACCCAATACCAACCCCCCCCCCCCCCCTACCCAACCCCATAACACCCCCCAAAACAAACCAAAAACCCCCCATAATAACCACACCCATCCAACAATTCCCCCCCCCACCCACCTACCCCCCACCACCAACCACCCTACCCCCCCACACACCACCTCCCCCACCCCCCAAACCCCACCCATCCCTACCCCCCAACACCCCCCCACCAACCCCCACCCACCCCCACCACCCACACCAACCCACCCCCACCCCCCCCACCAAAAACCAACCACCCCACAAAACACAACACCAACAATAACCCAACACCACACCACAAAACAACACCCACAAACACAACCCCAACCACCCAATCTCCCACCCCCAAAACACACACCACCCAAACACCCTCACAACTAATATACCAACACCTATCCCACACCACACCTCACACACACACACACACTATCACACCTCTCTTCCCCCCATCAACACAACCCCCAATCACACTCCCCACTACACTCACCACACATCTCCCTACACTCCTCACACTCACACTATCACCTCACACACCACACTCATCCCTCTTCTCCACTCTCACTACCCCCCTCTCACTCCACACTCACACCCATCACTATCTCACCTCACCTCTCCCCCTCATCTTTTCTACCCCTCTCACACTTTCTCTCTCCCTCTCACACCAAATCTCTTCCACTCTCACACCCCCATCCACTCCATCTCACCCTCTCACACCCCCACTAACACTCCCTCTCTCTCCTCTCTCACTCACTCTACTCATCCCACACTCTCCACACATCTCACTCACTCACACCCCTCTCACTCCTCTATCTCTCCCTCTCTCTCTCCCCTCTCTTCTCCCCACTCTCTTCCTCTCTCAACCCCAATACCAAAACCCCCCACAAAAACCATATACCCCCCATCCCCACATCCCAACCCTCCCCACACCACCCCCCACCAACCACAAAAAAACCCCACACCAACCAACCAACCTACAACACACACCCACCCACCACTACCCCCCAACCACCCAACCACACCAAACAACCCCCCCCCACACCAACCCAACCCACCCACCCCCCACCCCCCCCCCACACTCAACCCCCACCACCCCCACCTCAACACCCACCACCACCACCCCCCACCCCAAACCCACCCCCCCCCCCCCCCCCAACAACCACAACACCACAAACACCCCCAACAACAACAACACCCCAACCAAACTAACACCTAACCAACCCACACCATACAACCACCATCATCATCAAACACACCCCCTACAATAATTCAACCTCCCCCCTACAAATAACTCCCCCTTCCCAACAACACCCCCAACAACAAAAACCTCACAAATCCTCATCATACACACCCAACCTCATAAACACCATCCACAACACCACCAATCCACAACAAACCCAAAACAACTCCACCCAAACAACACCACCACACAACCAAACACCACCAACAACACAACCAACCCCAACCACAAAACCAACCCAACCCCACTAAAACAAACCCCTACCACAACAAAAACCAACAACAACCTCCACCCAAACAACAACCCAACCACACCACCAACACAACAAAACACCCCCCCCACCCCCAACAACCAACAACCAACCACCACACCCCCCCCCCCCACCCCCCCACCCACACCACCCACCCCACCCAACCCACCCCAACCACAAAAACCCCCCCAAACCCAATACCCCCCACCACCCCCCCAACCCCCCCACCCCCCCCACCAACCCCCAACCACAACCCCACCCCACAACCCCCACAAAAACAAACCACACCCACCAAACACAACACCACACCCCAAACACAAAAACAACCACCACCAACCCCCACCCACCCCCCCCCACCCCACCCCCCCCACCAACCCCACTACCCAAACCCAAACCCCAACACCCACAAAACCAACCACCCCCCCAAAACAACCCC